GTCCAGGGACATAGCCATTATGCTAACTGCTAACTGTATATTTTTCATAAAGCTTTGCACCCAGTACATATCCAGAAAAATAAGATGAATAAATTAAACTGAAAGAATGAATTTTATCCCCTTCTATTATATACTTTATTAGCCTGGCTTCCAAGATAGATACCTCCACCCTATTGTTTTGTTTTGTTTTTTCCTACTATATTGCTTGTTCCTACTCATTCTCCTTTGATGCCTTCTACTTTCCTCCCCACAACTTTATAGTGACAGACTGTCCCAAGTTTCTTACTCTTCTTTGTTTCTCTTAATTCTCTATGTACACTTACTATCTTGGTCATTTTGTTCAGTTCCATAATTTTAAGTAATATCTATAAACTTCTATTTCCAGTCTAGTCTTCTCTTAAAAATGTAAGTCTTTATATACAATTCATTCAGGTTTTTTGTTTTTTGTTTTGTTTTGTTTTTGCTATGGGCACATGCATTCACTGGAAGGGTGAGGGAGAGGGAGAGAAGGAAAGTGAGAAATCCTCTCCACCCCGGGTGGGTGGAGATGGTCTCAGTGCAATCCCTTTTCCTCCATTCTCTTCTTGGGATTTTGAGCATGCCCGCACCTCGCATGATTTTCAAGCCGCGGGGTCCAGGACTTGAACCACAGAGTTGACCATGTAGGATCCAGATGCCTTAACCTCCATGTAACCTGCTGGCCCTCAACATTTCTAATAGATATTTCTCTTTTTTTTAATAATTATTTAATTTAATTTTATTTATTCATTCATTTATTTTTTAATTTGACCAGAGAGAGACAGAGGGTGAGAGAGAAAGGAAGTGAGAAAGCCAGCCACCAGATTCAGGATTTGAACCCTGGTCAGCCATGTGGGAGTGTCCAGCACCTTAACCACCACACCACCTGCTAGTCTCTCTAATAGATACTTCAAATTTGACATGTTCAAAATTGAGTTTCTGATTTTATTTTTATTTTTTTGAGAGGTTTTCACTATAGGGCACGTGCACTAGCCAGACAGAGAGAGCGAGATATAGAGACAGAAAGCGAGAAATCGCCCCCCAGGGGGGATGGTCACGCCACAATCCCTTCTCCTCCGTTCTTCTCTCCGGGATCTTGGGCGCCCACCCCCACGCAGCCGGCATGAGTTTTAAGCCACCGGGTCCGGGACACGAACCAGGGTCGACTACATGGGAGTCCAGCAACCCAGCCATTACGCTAACTGCTGGTTCCAAGTTTCTGATTTTTATTCACAAAACCACCTCCTCCTGCAGCTTTCCCCATCTTTTTCTTTTTAATTGCTGCAGGGTATCAGAGGCAGATAAGGAGAGAAAGAAAGCACTTCCAAATGGGGCATGGTTATGCCACAATCCCTTCTCCTACATATGGCTATTCATCAGGATTTTAGGCACACACATGTGCCCAGCATGTTTCTCAAACTGCTCAGGCCAGAATTCAAACCATCGCTGACCATATGGTCTAGGACTCTCTTTAGAATGGTTGCACTACAGGGCTGGCTCCCCCAACCCCTCCCCCAACAGGTTGGGTCCATGCATGGCCTGGTGGTTGAGGCAGCTGAATTCCATAAAGTCAACCCCACGGTCCATGTCCTGGGCCTGGCAGCCTCAAAAACAAACTGAGCATGTGTGTGCGTATCCAAAATCCCGAAAGGATGAAGAAATGGAAGAGAAGGGATTGTGGCATGACCATTCCCAACAGGGGATACTCTCCCTCTTCCTCTCTGATTCTCTATCTTTCCTTAGCAAGCACATGTACTCTCTGGCAAAAATTTAAAAAAAAAAAAGGTTTCTCTGAGTCTCAATCCTACTGCCTCAGTCTCCCAGTTAGGACTATTAGGTATCCACCATACATGATTCTTTTTTAGACAGGGTTTCACTATGTTGTCCAGGTTGTCAAGCTTACAACCCTCCCAGCTCAGCCTCGAGTTACTGGGATTACAGGTACATACCACTACAACAGGAACCTGGCCTGGGCCTCTCACGTGGTCCCAGCCTACAGAACACAGTGTCCACACCTGCAGAACATCATGTAGGCTGGGCTTCCCCTTTTCTTTGACAGCACAGCTCAAATTCTCTCTGATGACTCCAACATTCCAGTTATTTAAGCCAAAAATCTTAATACTGTTTTGGATCTTTTTTCTCTCAAAGCCACTACAACAGGAACCTGGCCTGGGCCTCTCACGTGGTCCCAGCCTACAGAACACAGTGTCCACACCTGCAGAACATCATGTAGGCTGGGCTTCCCCTTTTCTTTGACAGCACAGCTCAAATTCTCTCTGATGACTCCAACATTCCAGTTATTTAAGCCAAAAATCTTAATACTGTTTTGGATCTTTTTTCTCTCAAAACATAGCTATATCTAATCTATTAGCAAATTCTTTTCATTGAACCTTCAAAATATTTCCAAATTTAACACTATTGAGCACACCATTACTATCACTTTAGTCTGAGTTATCAGCCCTCTTACTTGAATTAATTCAATAGCCTCTGATTTTCTGCTTCTACTGCTATAACTTGAGTATATCCTCCCAAAATTCATGTGCTGAGCTCTTGTAACAAGAATAAAAGAGTGAAAATCTGATCAATAATGATGTGGAAAGATGAAGCTTCGGTAAGAGATTAAGATTAAAGTCATTAGGGGTGGGCCCCAAGATTGAAGTTCTGGTGGGGATAAATGAGACCAAAATGGAGAGCCTCATGGAAACAAGAGCTCTGAACTGCTCTCACCCTCTTGATGTGATCAGGACTCTACAAGATGCCTGCCAGTTAAGGGTCCCTGGACCTTGGACCTCCAAACCATGAGCTGAATAAACCTGTTTTTTAAAATAAATTACCCAGTTTTAGATAACTTCTTTTATCAGTAACAAAACAGACTACAACACTCTTCTATAGTCTGTTCTCAACCCAACAGCCTGGGTACTCTATTAAAAGTTAAGTACAATAATATCACTCCTGTTTCAAAACCTTTTGATACATATCCCTTGCCACTCCCACCTTGTAATAAGTCAAAGAATTTACAATGATGTAGAAAGTTGTACATGATATACCCTATCCTAAGTCATTATTTCCTCTCTGACTTAATCTCATACTCTTATCCTTGTTCATTCCTCTCCAGTCACTCAGAGCTCCTTGCTATTATTACAGAATGCACCAAGGAATGCTTTCATTATAAGGCCTCTGCAATGACTGTTCCCTCTGCTTGGAAACGTTTTTTCCCATATACCCACGTAGCTAATTCTATCACGTGCATCAACACTGATTAAGAGTCATCACCTCAACCAGGACAACATGAACCATCCTATTTAAATCTCAACTCAGTCCTTGCCTCTTGTTTCCAATCCTCCGTCGTTTTGTCTTTTCAAACACAAGTAGCTAGATAAAATACTTCACAACTTACTAATTATATTTATTATCTGCCTTCTCCCCTCTTTACTCCATTAAACTCCAAGTACCACGAGGGTGAGGCTTACTATTTACTGATATATCCTTAGTGCACAGGACAATGCCTTGAACCAGTAGGCTCTCAACAAATAATTACGAAATTTATACAAACAGCAATTATATATTAAGAGTCACTAAGAGTAAGGATCTCTGAAAACAGAAATCAACCTGTGAAAATTCCATCAAATCATGTTATACTGCTAGATGTTAGGGCTCTACTCAGTGTACTGTGGGCAGTAATTTAGCATTCCCCTCAACAATGCTGCTGGCCAACATACTTTTCCAGTTTAGGAAACTTCCTAAGGCTCAAAAACACAATTTCAAACTAGGTAATTCTGCATTAAACAAAAGCAGGATTTTCCCATCACAATGTGAACTTAATGTAAATAATGTTTAAAAGTAAAACACACATTATTCATTATAATCCTTGTATGACACTCTAATTTTGTAACTATGGGAGAATTCACCTGTTCAAAGTGAATGCTTTCACTCAGCTCACACTGCCTTGAAAAGTCTAGGGAAATTAAGACACAGAGGATTATAAATGCTGGTCTCAAAAAAAAAAGGGGGGGGTGTCCAGAAAGTGATGGAATTTATCTCATCCCTACGCAAAGATCAGGATCTCCAATAACAAAATTTGACCCATATAACAGCTTCAATTATGGCTTGAATAATGTCATGTCCTAAGAGCTCAGCCCATAAGACTTACTATGCAAAACACTATAAACCTGAAAAACTCAAAGCATTAACCAAAGTATTTCATTAACTGCAATTATATACACAATCCAACAATCCATTCCCGTTGCTGTAGGTTTTTTTTTTTTAGTTTACCGCACACAACACTTATCTGAGAAACTTCTCCGAATCAAAGAAAATCTGTCTAGAGCAACTTTGGGTCCGTCTTTTAAGCTGATGCCAATACTGCTAACACAACACAGTAGGTTTTGTATCCAAGTATAAAACATAGTAAGAGGTCCTACTGACAGCCTGAAAATTACCTCCAGAACTGATCTTTAAGCAAGTATCATCCACCACAGAATTCATAGTATGATCGGATGCAAAGCTTTACACCGACAACGAAAAGTTTTACACTGACTACGAAAACTTCATATATTTAAAGGGCAACTCCACGATACTCCAAAGACACTTAAAGAGAAGTTATCTAATTACACGGCTGTTAGGAGTTCACTTACAACTTCCACCTCGTCTTTCATAGTCTACCCTCAAGTACGTACCGGCAACCCCACTTAAGGGACCCACATGTTACTCAAGTCAGAAAATAAGACTTAGAGATGGTGCTCTCATAAAATACACTAGGAAGTCAGAGCGAGAACCGGTGTAGGGGAACACCGCGCAGCGGGTAGGAAAGGCAGTAGCCGCCCCGCCCGCGACAAGGGCGCGGGTCAGAGCCAGGCGACCCAGGAAACCCAGCAGCAGGTGCGACGCTCCGGCAGAGTAATATGTAGTCGCCTGGGTTTCAGACCGAAAAGGGGACGCTGCCTTAGGACTGTGAGACTCGCGGGACGGACAACTCGCCTTACCTCTGGAGTCCGCTCCGGTGGCTTCTTCTTCAGCGCCTGCCTAGCGCTGGGGTCCACAGGTGAGTTCATGGCCGCGGCCCCGAAACTCCCCAGTCTGCTTTCAGCAGCCCACGGGACAGCCCATTCACGCTAGGCAGGGGGTGCGTCACCCGCTCCCCCTTCACATACACACACACACTCACACACGGAGAAAACCCTGTTCTGTCTCGGGGTCCGAGCTCAAGCAAACAACCCTTCGCAACGCCCGCCCAGGGCCTCAGCCCACGCGCGACTGGCCAGACAGAAAGCCGCGCGGGGGCGGAGGAGGGCTGCTGCGCCTGCGCAAGGCGCGCGCGCAAGCTAACGAGCGCCCGAGGGAAATGACTGCGCGGTGACGTCATAACTGGGCGGTGCAGTTAGGCCTTTTTCCATCCCTTCTTCGTGAGATTTAAGACACGTCGCGAGACCTCACATAAGGGCGTCACGGGATCCTCCTAAGAGAAGTAGCTTGGTCCTCTCTCGCTTCCTGTGGGGGGAGCCGGAAACGCGCTGAGAGTCAGGGTGAAAAAAACTCGTAGGGGCTGAGCCGTGGACCTAGCGTCCTAAGTAGAGAGAACTGTTTGTGCCCAAACCCGGAAGCCCAGGGCGTGGCCAAGCCCGGGTTAGAGCTGCGGCTCTGGAACTTCGACCCCTAGGGGGGGGCGTGTTGAAGTCGAAGCCGCCATTCGGCAGAGGTGGCCACCTACACTTCTCCCGCGGTCTCTTTTAATAAAACGAAATCTCCTGAAAGTCGCCCACAGGGAAGGGCTTGTTCAGTTCAGGACGGACATCCTGAGACCAGGACAGAAAGAGCAAAGGTTCGCGGGAGTGGGCAGCTCCGGAGTCTCCCCGCGGCCGGCTCACGGTTACCGCGGATTCGGACACCAAGTAGCGTTTGTCTTCAATAACCAGGGCCCAAGGGACACCAACTAGGGTTTGTCTCCAATAACCAGGGCCCAAGGGCGGCCCGGCTCCGCCCCGCCCCTCTCGCAAGTAGTATTTAGGTTGCCTGGGATCCACAGGGGCCGCTTGCACACTTTGTCACATTATGGCGTGCTTTTCAGCAGACCAAATCCCATTTCGAATCGCTGGTCCCCCAAAACAGAGCAGTCCTTGGGACAACCAAAGACAAGTTCTCACAGTATTCAGAATCATCTCTGCTTCGTCATTAGCGCTTAAGTAGGCAGCACAGTCACAGTTCCTCACTTTGGGACCCCCATGGGCAAGTCCTTGCCCTTGAATTTCTTGGGCTCCTGAAGAGATGTGCCCACTGGGACCAGCAGATGGCATAATGGTTATATCTCTAGACTCCCACATAGTGGACTGCAGTTCCAACTCCCAGACCAGCTGTTTGCATAATGGTTATGTTTCTAGACTCCCACGCAGTGAACTGCTGTTCAAGCCCCAGACCTGCTGTTCACATGTGTGTACAGCTTCAAAATCCCGGGGACAGAGAGGGAAAAAGGATTGTGGTGTAGTCATTTCCCCCGGGGGGTGGTTTCTCCTTTTCTGTTTCCAACACTTGTGTCAGCAAAAACCTTAAAAAAAAAAAAAAAACTGTAACCACTAAGGTACTTCTTTTTCAGTACTTCTCTCACCAATTAACATAGTTCAATGGGATTTATGATTGACAAGGTTTTTTATAATTTACATGACGTGGTTTTCAAATAGTGACTAATTCGTAGTAATTTTTCATAGTATGGTAAGAATTAAAAATGTTTTTTAGGGGGTCAGCAGGTGGCATGGTGGTTAAGACGCTGGACTCCCACAGGGCTGAGCACAGCTTGAGTCCTGGACCTGGCAGCTGGAAAATCACACCCAGCGTGTATACCTGTGTGCCCCATCCCAAGATGAGAACGGAGAAGGGACTGCAATATAGCCATCCCCCTTGGGGGTGATTCTCACTTTGTCTCTCTGGCAAGTACATGTGCCCTATGGCAAAAACGTAAAGAAAAAAAGAAGGGGACCAGCAGTTAGCATAATGGCTATGTCTCTGGACTCCCACGTAGTCAACCATGGTTCGAGTCCTGGACCTGGTGGCGTAAACTCACACCGGGCGCGTGTGCTTGCGTGCCCAAGATCCCGAGAGGAGAATGGAAGAGAAGGGATTGTGGCGTGGCCATCCCCTCTGGGGGGTGATTTCTCACTTTCTGTCTCTCTGTCTCTCTCTGCCTGGCAAGTGCCCGCACCCTATAGCAAAAACCTCTCAGGAAAAAAAAAAAAAAAGATTAAAAAAAAGAAACAAAAAATTATAAAGTTGAGAGTAATACAAGGAAAAGAGGTCAGGCTACATTTGACATTTACCATTTCTGAGACCTGCTAATGACAGCTAATGTTATAATAAGGGCTGTGTTTTCCGTTAGTCCTGGGGCTTGCCCAAACCTGAAGTTTACAAAATACTACTGTATTAGCACATCTCTTTTTCGATTACAGGACCAACAAACTTACCACGGAAGCTGTGGCTCAGCTATTCTAGAAAGTAATTGCATCAAACTCACCGGGTTGTTAAAGAGGACCCATATTTGTCATGTTTTAAATGTATAAACATCCTCAAATGCCTGTCCAGATCTCAAACAAAGGTTGTCCCTACCACTATTTGAAGACCAGATTCCAGAAGTCACATCAGTATGTTGAAAGAGGGAAAAGAAATTAAAGCATGATCACTATGAATTTGTACTTCAGAGGTGGACTTGTGTCTTTAAGAGTCCACTACAATAGTTAAAGTGACTTGGGACCAGCACTTAGCATAATGGCTATGTCACTGAACTCCCATATAGCCCACTGTGGTTCAGGTCCCGGACCCAGTGGCTTAAACTCACACCAAGTGCTTGTGCATGCGTGCCCAAGATCCTGCAAGGAGAACGGAGGAGAAGGAATTGTGGCATGGCCATCCCCCCAGGGGGGTGATTTTTTGCTTTCTATCTCTTGTCTCTCTCTGTCTTTCTGGTGAGTGCATGTGCCCTGTAGCAAAAACCTCTCCCCTCAAAAAAAATAAAAATGAAAATAAAGTGACTTGAAATTATTTAATGTATCTGAATTCAACTCCCTTATTTGCAAATTGGGAATAATAAAGGACCTATTGCTTCAGGAATTTGTTAAGATTACATGAGAACATTTATGTGAAGAATGAGTAAATTGCCTGTACAATTCATACACACACTGTTATTTCTTTTACTTCTATTAAATGACTTCTCTAAAGCAGAAATTCAAGTTTGAAGAATTTGTTGTCAATTTCTTTTCCATTTGTAAATATTTAAAAACATTTTAAGTATTTGTGAAGATGTGAAGCAAGAGGAACTCTCACAAACTGCTGGTTAAGTGTACATTGGGAAACCACTTTGGAAATAAAGTTGAAATGTACACCTTACAACAAGTCTACTCCTTGATATATTTCCCAAAGAATACCTATGTGCACCAGAAAAGATAAGACAAAATGTTCGTCCATGGTAGCCAAAACCAGAAATAATGTAAATATCAATAACAGAAGAGTGTGTATTCATCCTGTGCAGTATCAACTATATAGCACAGGGATCCATATCCAACATGCTCCAAGGTAAAGAGCAAAACAATGCAGAGTATAATTACACACAGAGATTTCAAACACAAGCAAAATTAAACTATGATAACACTTAAGTTAGAGATCAGTCAGGTGAAACCATAAAGAGAATGTGAGAAATGATATTCACAAAAGTCAGAATGGGGTAGAGGATTATGATCAGGATAGGCACACAGTGGTAAGGGCTTCTGGATTGCTGAAAATGGTCTATTTCTTGACCTTTACATGAATTTATCACAGTATATTTATTCATTTCTCTATATTTCATGAGAAAGTCAATTATATAAATAATTTATTAAGCTTTATGACAGCAACAGTAAAAACAGTATACTATTGCCCACAATAACTATCCATCATATCCAAATCTAAGCACATTTCAAAATCTATCTTGTCCTTTATCATCTTGTATCATATACTGTTGAATACTGAAAACAGTGAGAAGGCAGTTGAAGTTCTATTTTTAGAGAAAAAGCAAACTCCAACACAGGATTAACCAGCAATGACTTGTATATGAAAGGAAAAAGTAATGGTCTGAATGCAAATATTAAACTGTGGGAAAATAAAAACACTGTACATCTTTTTAAAAATTGGCTTAACTACTTTTATTTTTCTCACTATACTTCTTGCCTGATAACATAGTACATATTAATAAACTTTCTTTTTTTCCTTAAGGGGTGGGGATCTATCTCCTCCACTAGAGGGATAACACATAAAATCCATAAGAACAGAAAAGAACATTCGTGTCATTTACTGGTATATCCATAGTATCTAAACCTATGCTTAGTACAGAACAGGTGCTCAATAAATATTTACTGAATGAAATGAAATCTATCTAAGGACTAATTGGGAGGATTTTGGTATTAGAAAGACAGCAGCCCTGGTGATCCAGGCAGTAGCATGCTGAATGACAGTGCTGGAAGCCACATGATCATTGTAGATTCAGATTCCAGGTTCACCTGGACATGCCAGGCATGTGTGGGCTGGCACCCAAGACAAGCTGGATGGCTGGGGTTTGGAAAGGGTCTTGGTGAGATGAGACACTGTCTAGTATACCTGTTTGTGTCTGCCTCAAGTGTATGCACATGCTATCATGAATAAAAATAAACTTCAAACAACAACCAAAAGCTACTTAATTACTCTTCAATGACATGGAAAAATGACTAAGTATCTTTTGTGTTATACAAAATCCAATGCTCATTAACCAGGCATAATTATATGGTCATCTTTCCAGACAAACTGCAACCAACAAAACACGAGGATAAAGATCTCTGGTTTTAGTAACACCTGAAATGAAGTAAGAAATTGAGATTTGAGAATGCCGGAAATTGAGTCACTAGAACTGGAAAAATAAGATAATTTTCTTGCTCAAATCTGAAAAGTCAGTTACTGAATCGGTTTCTCTGGGGGTGGGATCTAGGAATTTACAGGTTTCAAAAACTACCCAGGTGTTTCAAATATGCAACCAGGTTTGAGAATCACTTTAAACTAACTCAGATTCTGGATTAGGCTGACTCATTTTAACTCCCGCCCCTGTACCACAGTGAAGAAATATACAGACTTCTGAGTGCAGGACCAAATGTGTCCCACAGAGTAGTATCACAAGTTTCTTAAAGAAATTATAATGCCTTCCTTATATTTATGTAACATTTCAACAGTTTTGTTATTCCATGTGAGATGATTTAGGAAAGGAATACCTTTGTTAATAATCCGAATCTGAATACTGAGGTAAATATAAAAGACATGTTTTTGGACTGTCCTTTTGGTACCTTTTTTTTAAGAGAGAGATTTTTTTTAAAGAATTATTTTTAATTTTATTTATTCATTCATTTATTTTAATTTGACCAGACACACACACACACACACAGAGAGAGAGAGAGAGACAGTAAGCAAGCCAGCAGGTCCGAAACTTGAACTGTGGTCAGCGTGTGGGAGTGTCCAGCACCTTAACCACCACACCACCTGCTGGTCCCCAAGAAAGAGATTTTTGTTATAGGGTGTGTGCGCTGATCAGAGAAACAGAGACAGACAGAAAGTGACAAAACATCCCCTAGGGGGGATGACCATGCTGCAATCCCTTCTCCATTCTTCTTGGGATTTTGGGCATGCACACACATGTGTCTGGCATGAGTTGGGTCTGGACTCGAACCATGGTCAACTACATGCGAGTCTAGTGACATAATCATTGTGCCATCTGCCGGTTCCAGGACTGTCCTTGTGAAGAAGTCTCTTAAGCCTCTTCAACTTAAAATTTTTCTTAAATACAGGTTTAGCTGCAGGAGATCAAATCAGTGTTAACCCAAAGAGTTGTCTACAATCTGAAAAAGGGATCTGTCTAGGTTCGTATCTTCACCAAGTCACTTTAAAAAGACAAGTGAAAAGGATCCTAGTCTCCAAGTTCCCAGATGAGAGTAGGTACTCTGACCTTAGCACATGCTTTAAGATCAAAGTTCTGAAAAATAGTGGATGGCAATTTCACATATTCTCAAAGAATGTTTTGGACTGTATTTTTTATTATTATTTTTAGGGATGTCTTCAATAATCCTGAATCTAAAGCTAATACGTCCAAGTCCACAGTCTTCACTACAAAGGTAAGATGTACTCAGTTCCTGATCTTCCCTTTTTGGATTTGCCTGAGCCCTTCTCAGAACTACAATTTCCTAGCCTCACTCCACCTTCAGCTCAGGTTTGGTCTCATGTGCCACCCCACCCCTACCTTCCACAGTGGCAAAGGCAAATGAAGAACTTTGGATATCTTTAAAATATACATGTCACCACACACTAGCTGGGAAATAACTTTGGTCTGAGAGACAAGATGGACCACATAGAAACAACTGTATGACTTCAGATCCTCACAGTGAATTATTTCTCTGTACCCCAGTATTTCATTAGCAAAAATCAGCCCTCTCTGCTTCTCAAAATGTTGCAAGATTTCTCTTTTATGTAGAAACAGTACACATAAACACAGGTACCAATGATAAACTTCTGAAATATCTGAAGGTTGCTTCCCAAATATTTGATACTTCCTCCCTGTTTTAAAACAAGAGCACTGCTCTCTGGGCTCAGACCTCGTTGGCAGTGATATGGCTAAACGCATCAAGTAGGACACATCGTCGGTACATATGGAACCCATTATGGTGCCTCCCTTTGGAAAATGGTGAAGAAAACTGAAATCAGCCAGCACGCCAAGTATACTTGCTCCTTCTGTGGCAAAAACAAGATGAAGAGACAGGCTGTGGGGACCTGGCACTGTGGTTCCTGCATGGACATGGTATCCGGTGGTGCCTGGACTGGCTGTCACAGTAAAGTCCACCATCAGAAGACTGAAAGAACTGCAAGTCCAGTAGAAGCTCCACAGACACTTGGAACATCACTAGCCTACAATAAATGGGTTAATTTATATAACAAGCAAAAACAATAGAACAAGAGCATTTCCTCTCTTTGGTTCAATCTAAGGGTGGTACATGTAACTTAACATTAAACAGGTACTCTTAAAAACCCCTAGTCTAGTTCTGCCTCCAGGCAGAACTCTGCCTAAATCAACCTAGCCTGAGGAAGACAGCTTCCCTACAAGCCTAAAGGCTGAACCACTGCTTACAGGGCAGGTACTAAGGACTGACTGGAAGGCTGACTTCCCTACAGTGCAGATAAAGACTTGCTCAGAGTTACAGACAAATCAGTGAGCCAAGAATAAAAGTGAAAGTAACTGACCATGTGTTTGTTTAGTTGTAAAGTCTATACTAATTTGTACAGGATACAATTTTATTAACAGCTTTTGCAAGGCTTCTAGGTTTTAGTTGATTTGGTTCAGCTTGCTTTCATAAAAGCATTTACAAATTTTTCAATGTATCCTTGTGAGATTTAGGTCAGGTGTAAGAATATATCCAGCTTATGTATTTTTTACTATCTTTTTACTCATAAGAACTTGTTAAAAATCCTTTCAACAACAAACGTTGGCCATAGAAGACTGAACAGATTACTTGGTAACAGTAGCAGCTATAAATTATCCAGTGTTTGGAGTGTGGCAACACTGAGCTAAATTCTTTTTGTTTTTTAATTGCTAGAGGGTGTGTGTGCTCAGCAGAGAAAGAGAAAGTGATGAGAGAGAGAGAGACAGACAGACAGACAGACAGAAAGTATCCTCCAGTGGGCTGTGGTAATGCCTCAATTCCTTCTCTCCCATTTTTCCACCTTGTCGGGATTTGGGGCACGCACACTCATGTACCTGGTGTTTTTTTCAAATGGCCAGGGCCAGGATTCAAATTGTGTGGCTGGCTATATGGGATTTGGCTCTCTTTAATGCTAGGGCACAGAGCCAGCCCAGGCTAAATTCTCACAACACCCTCATGAAATAGATTCTACAAAATTACAAGATTACATGGTTAGATATGTCAGACTTTAGACAAGAATCTAGGTGTTCTGACTGGTGTCAGAGTCCACAATGTTATATACACTTTAACACATGAAAGAAAGAACATCAACATCCATCAAATTGACGTGTATTTATTGCACAAATTTCCCCTAGAACCGGGAGGTTATTATAATACAGGTGTACATTTGAGAAATGTATACAGAGTAAGGAACAATATGTACATTTTACATATCCACCATCTAAATAACTTAGAGAAAGCAGAATATTCTCATAAGACATTACCAGAAGTAGGTATTATGTAAAATCATGGGTTTTTTTTAATTAATCATCCCAATGTATGCCAATCACAACCAAATGAAATCTGTGCTATTATCTTTATTGCACTTACATTTTCAAATTCAAAATTAAGACATATTAATAAAAGCAGAAATATTTTAAAAATCAAACCAATTAGTTTATATACAACAACAAAAAAAATCAGTTTCAATTCTTGTAACATCCCTTTTTCATTTCCCGCAAGAAACAGGTTTTTGTTTTGTTACGTTTTTTTTTTTTTAACATGTAACACAGTTGTCTGTACCATAAGTAGTTAAGAAATTATTTTGAACAGGCCAAAACTCTTTTCACATTTACCATAATGACCACATTTTGAATAAGTAGCAGCTCATTCCTAGGGCACTATGTAAAGAAAAGAATGATTATGATGAAGGTAAGAGAAATTACAGAAAGATTAGGAGTTATAAAACTCAGGAATCCTATAAGGATTAATGATTCTTTATGAAACTACAGGCCTTTTCCTTCTCGGCAATGCTTAGTTATTAGTTAAAAATAACAGTAGCATGAGCCATCCACTTACTGAAGACTAGAACACCTAAATGGTAATTTATTAGGTATCTCAAAAAGGACTAAAATAGTTTGGTGAGTAAGAAAACACCTAGAAACATGTATTATCTACCTGCTACATATTATTCTGAGAAACAATCAAAAAAATGAATACAATGGCCCACATATAAACTTTTCTGTATTTCAAATTCTGCCAGAGACTGACTCATGAAATTCCAAAAATAGACAACAAAAGAATTCCATTACTGAATGAAATTAAAAAAAAAAACAAAAAAAACTAACCCAAACAAAATATATCATTATAAAAACTCTTTGCCAGAAGTCATCCATGGGAGACTCAGATACTAACTGGGACCAGCTAACTAAGAGGACATGGGTCAAACTGACTGCAGGCACACCAATTTCAGGTTTACATTCCATTAAAACAACCATTTCTTTTTGTCTAAGTGGAGATTTCTTGAATACATAAAGAGCAAGGCAAAACGTGACCCAACGTTATAAATTCAAGGTGCAAGATTAAACCAACCCACAAAATTTTTCCATTAGTTATTAAAAATTTAAATAGCAAGAATGGGTATGTTATATAACTGAATAAGCAAGTGAGTTTTTTTTCTTTAATCAATTATGATGATGATAATAGTTAATGAAAGCAGAAACCAACTTTGCTTCTAGCATTAAAAGTATCTTAGACCATACAAGCAAAGAATAAACTAAATGTAGTTTTCAAGTAAACTGAGGTAGTAGAGCATATTGAAAACTTTATCTACTCATCTTTCTATTTACATTACTTACAGAAGTTTGGTTCCATGTTAGCCTTTCTTATAAGAGACGCCCTATAGTATATACAAAGACAACAATTGAAAAGTGGAAATCTTTTTTAAAAATCAGCTTTTAGAAGGGAGAGGCTCTTAGACAAAAGAGAATAATTTTAAGAGTTATGAGTTCCATTAGTGTAAATTGAATAGTATTAAGCAATGAAATAAATGTTGAGCTCCTATGGGTTCAAGAAGGGCTGATACCGAAAGCAAGGGCCCTGGCTACCTGAGCGCTTTTAAAGAAAACAGTATTATTTTTCCAATGCTTTGGTGCAATTTTAAATCCTAATCTTCATATATTAAATTAATGAATGTGTAAATATTAGTATTTATAAGAATTAACTCATACTTATAAACAAATGGTATAAAGTAGTATTCTTAATTTGGGGATGTACATCCTCAGCCTTAAAAAAACACTGGCTTTACTTGTATTTTAGAGTGTGTGAAACAAAAATCACCAGAATGTAACATTTCAATATTACATACAATTAATACTAGTTGAAAATAGTTTTTAAAAAAGGCATGTTTACCAACCTTGTATTTCTACCTCTACTTTAAAAAATATATATACACTTATGTACACTTGGGTGGATAACATAACACATATTTGCACTCATTTTTATAATTAACAGGCTCTTTAAAATACTTACTCTGAAATTAGCTGTTTACAATTGCAAACCAAAATAACAATCAAATTTTTATAGATCTCTGTAACTTAAACACAAAGAATTTAAAATGAATGAAATGACTATTTCCACGTTAATCAGGAAACATCTGCTGTTATTTATAAGTTGTGACAACACCATAGAGATCACCTGAAATTCCTTCATATTACTCTCTTTGTAGAAATTACTAAGTTATACTTTGGCTTTTTCAAATGCTTCTCCCACAAAATTATCTATGTTGCTTTAGTTTCACGTGGTTAAAAATCTACCATCACCCAAAAGTCCAGTCAAAAAGAAAAAGCCAATCACTGTACCCAGAATATGCAGTACAATGCAGGATAGCATGGTGACCAAAAAATCTCCATAAAGGCATGCTGTATCTGCTTCCTTGGTTTCTACTTATCTTTCCACTAGCGTTACCTTCTAACAACCTTTAGGCATGTTAAAGGAGTATCTGAGCAACATAAGGAGAATGAGTGCTTGCTACTGCAGCCAGAAGAGGAAGATCACTGGATTCAATTCTGAAAGGAAGAAAAAATATCTCAGTTCAGGTTTTCTGTATCTAGGACATGAATCCTACAGGCAATGACCACGACTTGTAAGATACCCAAGCAGTTAAGGACCTAGGCCACCTTAGCCAAAAAGAAAAGGCTAAGAGATGGGTCAGTCAGGTGGCATGGTGGTTAAAGTGACTGGATCCCACATGGTGACTACACAATTCGAATCCCTGGGCTGGCAGCTTGAAAAGCATGCCATGCATATGCCCCAAATCCCAAAAGAATGAAGGAGAAGGTACTAAGGCATGCCAGACCCCTGGGGGGAGGGGTAGTTTCTCACTTTCCCTCTCCCTCTCTCTTGTATGTCTCTCCAGCAAGTGCAAGCACCCTACAGAAACTTTTTTTTTTTTTGAGATGTTTTCGCTACAGGGCGTGTGCGCTTGCTAGACAGACAGAGAGAGACAGAAAGACAGAAAGTGAGAAATCACCCTCCAGGGGGGATGGCCATGCCGCAATCCCTTCTCCTCCATTCTCCTCTCGGGATCTTGGGCACGCACGCACACGCGCTCAGCGTGAGTTTTAAGCCACCAGGTTCGGGACGCGAACCGTGGTCGACTATGTGGGAGTCCAGCGACATAGCCATTACGCTAACTGCTGGTCCCAGAAAACATTTTTTTTAAAAGGTAAGAGAACTGACGGTAATAAAAATTGCTAATTTTTCAGTAAGTAAAATCCAGAAGGAAAGGGGAAAGGAAAAAGGAAAGGGAAGGAAGAAATAGTAGGCCAGCCAGTCTGCCTGCCTCTCAAAGTCAAGGAAATAAAGTTGCCTGGACCTGCTGCTGGATCGTGCATTAAGGCAAGGAACAGTGTCTAAAAGACATAACCTAGTATACTAATATTGGGTTGTTGGAAAAGTCATGACCTTTTTTATTATTTCTTTATGTTAAAATGCATCTTGGTTTTTCTGACAACCCAACAGAATATTGTGTATCTAGATTGTTTCTATAATGAAGTATACTCGAAGAAGAAATGAGAGTTTCTTAAAAATACATCCTATCAGGACCAGCAGATGGCATAATGGTTATGTTGCTGGACTGCCACATGGCTGACTGTGGTGTGAGTCCTGGACTCAGCAACTTGAAACTCATGCCAAACAAGTGTGCATGCGTGCCCAAAATCCTGAGAGGAGAATGGAGGAGAAGGGACCGTAGCATGGCTTTTCCTGCTGGGCAGTGATTTCTCACTTTCTGTCTCTTTGTGAGCACACATGTGCTAAAGCAAAAATCTCTCTGAAAATAAAAAATACATCCTATATTAGGTTGTTGGGAAAGTCATGACATATTTTTCTATGCAAAAATGCATCATGACTTTTCTGACAACCCAATAATTTATTTTTTATTGCCAGAGGGTATGTGTACTAATGAGAGAGCAAGACAGAGAGAGAGAAAGCCCCAATGGTGAATGGTCACATCACTGTCCTTTTTCCTCCTTTGTTCTTTTCCATCAGGATTTTAGGCACATATGCACATGCACATATTTCTCAAGCTTCCAGAGATGGGATTTGAACTGCAGTTGATCATGTGGGATTTGGCACCCTTAACCAGTATGCTATGGGCAAGTCCCACAGATAATTTATAGGAAATGAAAAATGGCCAATAAAGATTGAAAAAGTAACTCAGGGGCCAAGTGGTGGTGCAATGGTAATGCATCATCCTTAGGTCATTGGAAAAGGCATGATATATTTTTTTGGTACAAAAATGTGTCATAACTTTCCTGACAACCCTACAGAGTCATATGGGAAAGGTCCTCTTGCAATCCTAAGACTTCCCTGACCATGACCCAGGCTACCTGAGACAAGAATGGATCATAGAGTGATGAAACTGATGGGGGGTACCTGTCTCTCTATATATCTTTCTGACATAAGAAATAAATCAATCTTTAAAAAAAAAAAAGGTACTCAGATATACGCATGGATAGACAATTTTGAATAAAACCATTTTTCAAGCAACAGACTGGCAATGACTAAAAAGTCTAATAATAGCCAGTACTAAGAGGCATGTTGCTTCTTGCTCTTTGTGGAAATTTATACCGATACCTGCTGGATGGCATTCGGTATTATCAAACTGTCAATATCTATACAAAATTTAGTATAGGTCCAGCCAATCAGTGGCATGGTAGCTAAGGTGGCTGGATCCCACATGGCCGACTGTGTGGTTTGAGTCTTGTATCTGGCTGCTTAAAAACACGCTGGGGGTGTGTACATGCATAACCAAAATCCCAAGAGGAGAATGGAAGATAAGGGGTTGCAGCATGACCATCCCCCTTTGGGAAGGAGGTGCTTTCTCACTTTCTCTCGGTCTCTCTCACTTTCACTCTCTCTGTCTTCTCTGGCAAGTTCATGTGCCCTACAGAAAATTTTTAAGAAATTTAATGTTCATGGCCTTCAACTAAAATTTCTTTTGTGAAGGTCAACTGGTAAAATGGTGGTTAAGGTACTGGAATCCTACGTGACCAACTGCAGTTCAAGCTCTGGACCTGGCGGCTTAAAAATCATGCCAGGCATGTGTGTGCATGCCCCAAATCCAAAGTTAAGAATGGAGGAGAAGACGGGACCAGCAGTTAGCGTAATGGCTATGTCACTGGACTCCCACACAGTCGACTGCGGTTAGCGTCCCGGACCCGGTGGCTTAAAACTCATGCCGGGTGCGTGTGTGTGCATGCCCAGGATCCTGAGAGGAGAATGGAGAAGGGATTGCGGCGTGGCCATTCCCCCTTGGGGGTGATTTCTCACTTTCTTTCTCTCTGTCTCTCTCTCTGTCTGGCGAGCGCATGTGCCCTATACCAAAAAACCTCTATTAAAAAAAAAAAAAGAATGGAGGAGAAGGCACTGCAGCGTAGCTAGCCCTGGGGGAGGGGGATGATTTCCTTCTCACTTTCTCTTTCTGACAAACGCACATGCCCTATCCTATAGCAAAACAACAACAAAATTTCTACTATGAGGAATTTATCCCATAAGTGTCAAAGATTTTAATTCATTTCAGCCATGGTTTATGACTACAAAAAACTGAAAATAATCTAAATTCCTACATAAAATGGAATGCTACAATTATTAAAATGAGACAGATTGGTATATGCTTTTATGAACATTCAAGATACATTAAAAGGCAAGTCCTACAATGATTTATAGAGATTTATACATTGAAAATTTATAAAACTTAAATTGTCGGGCAGAGGCACACTAGTAAAACAGGATGACCTCTGAGGCTGACCCACATGGGAATGTTCCAGGTTCATGTTATGAGGTCTCCCTGAACATGCCAGACCACATGAATCCATAATTCGGAAGCTGGCTGAGGCTGCAGGGGCAGAGCAGCATCGAGACCTTCTTGGGCGGTGCTGCCTGTCTCTCTGTTCTCTATTGCTAATAAAATAAATAAACAAATAAACTTAAGAAAAAGTGTTTGGGTGGGCACTGGAAATTGAAGGAGAAGATGACAACTTTTCATTTTATGCTAAAATGTATAGTAAACTTTGATTATATGTACATTATTTTAAAAACTAAAAATTTTTTGATGCCAGAGGGAGCATGCATGTGCAGAAGAGGGGGAGGGCGAAAAAGATAGAGAAAAGAGGAAGAGAAAGAGAAAACCTCCCATAAGGGCTTGGTCATGTTGCAATCCTTTCTCCTCCAGTTTTCAGTCCCATCAAGGTTCTAGGCATATGTATGTGTGCCACTGATGTGAAGCCTACAGAACCAGGAACCAAGACCTGCTCACCTATGTGGAATTCAGCCTTTTCTACACAGTGCCCGACTGCTGCACCATGGGGGCGGGGGGTGTTACATAAACTCAAAAACTATTTTTAAAATAAAGATGTTAAGCACATACACATAGCCCTCGCTCCCCAGAAAAATAAGACAATATCCTATTACTGATTTCCCAAATAGCAGAGAATAGTTTTCTCTGTACTCCTCGTCAAATGTCCCATTAGGACTTGAACGTTAATGTGGTATTATATATGAACATGATCTGGAGTGTGAAAGATATAAAGTCATTCAAACCCCTCCTCTCACATGTGTGTTAACTTTCACAGTCTGATTCCAACAAGATGGTATTACTTACATAATGCAAAATGACTACAGAATTTGGGAATAACACTGAAAAAACGGAATTTAATTTGGTTTCTGACATACAGGATAGTCTCAATGATGCTGACTCCTTCCCTTTTCATAAGAGCTGAATTAAAGTTCTAGCTTCTTTCATTAATAACTTCAATTAGAATTTCAAAAAATGATTGTCAAATACATGCACACATATAAAGTGTCCACAACACAGAAAAGTGACTGTAGAATATAATGAAATAAAGCTATATTTATTGTTCCTCCTTTAATAAGCATTTTAGATAACTGTTTCCTTCCAAAGAATAACTGAGTAGACAAACATAATACATAGATAATGGGGGAGGAATAGTAGATATTAGAAAGCTGGGCAGATGCACAATGAGCTAACAAAATGAGTACTTACTTTTCTAAGACAAAACATAGATTTAATTCATTCTATCTATATTCCCAATGTACTATATGTAATACGCAAAGGCCAATAACCTTCCCATCAGTGGACCACAGGGAATCTGTTTCACACGGTATAGAGCAACATAAACGGTTAAGTGTACAGCTTCTACCAGGAAAAGACGCTTAAAAGGAAAAAGGGGGCTAAGAGGGAGGGGCTCGGGGGCATAAAAACATTTAATAGATACAAGAATGGAAAGTTATCTGTTGAGGATGATGTATATGGTAATATCTTAGACTTGATTAATAGACAATGCACATATGCTTTGAAAAACCATATTGTATGTAAAGATATACAATAATTAAGTGCAAAGGAAAGAAATAAAAAAGGAAAAAGGGCAATTCTGAGAAACATCCCTTGCCTAAACACAGAACAATGAGAAAGCAAAGCCAAAAGAGAAACCATGAACATACCCCAAAACCACTCCAAGCTCCTTGACATGAACACGCATCTGCCCCCTCAGGTACTCAGACAGCATTTTGCTCTTGAAGTACAGCTCTTGCAACCGGTCCTCTAGATGCATTACACACTGCAGTTAGGGAGAAAACAAGAACCAGGTCAGAAATCAGCTTCCAACTCTGAGCAATGGCAAAGTCCAAAAGATTATGTTCTTTTTTTTTTTTTTTTAAAGGATTGTGTTGACAATTCTATTTAGTTATTACAAGATAAGCTAAAATTTGGCGCACACTTATAAACTACGCAGTTTTGGTCAAAATGGACACTTAACTATTTGCAGCTCATACCAAAGTTTCTATGGTGTTTTTATTTTAATTTTTAAATTGTTGTAAAGTGCACAACATAAAACCTACCATTTAAGCCATTTTGAAGGGTATAATTCAGTGGCATTAAGTATATTCAAAATGTACAATAATCGCCACTATCTATTTTCAGAAATTGTGAAAATACATTTTTATTTCGGGGCCAGCAATTGGCATAATGGCTATGTCGCTGGACTCCCATGTAGTCGACCACGGTTCAAGTCCCAGACCCAATGGCTTAAAACTCACACCAGCCGTGTACATACCCAGGATCCAGAGAGGATAATGGAGGAGATTGCGGAGTGGCCATCCCCCCCGGGGGATGAATTCTCACTTTCTGTCTCTCTTTGTCTTTCTAGTGAGCACACACACCCTATAGCAAAACCTCTCCTAAAAATAAATACATTTTTATTTCAAATTTGATAAATATAAAGTGATACATTTCCAATGTATTTACATAAGAAAGGCTGTATTCTACAGAAAGTAAAAATAGCTTATAATACTTCACAAAGATCATTCTGTAGTCCTTACTAGAAGACAGATATTTCTAAAGCTGGAACATTAAAAATTAACACACATATACTTCATTTATTGTTCATTAACTTGTTCAATTATCTATTTATTTATTTAGGTTTTGCTATAAGATGCATGCATTCACTGGAGAGACACAGGGAGAGAGACAGAGAGAGATAAATCATCCCCCAGGGGGGACTGCCACACTGCAATCTCTTCTCTTCCATTCTTCATTTGGGGTTTGAGGCACATACACACACACACACACACACACACACACACACACACACACACACGGTGTGATTTTTTAAGCCGCTGTGTCCAGGACTAGAACCAGAGAGTCAGTGGGATCCAGCACCTTAACCTTCACAGCATCTGCTGGCCCCTAACTTGGCTCAATTTACTAAAATAGCTTATTTTTCGTTCGACTTAGTGCTATATATGTTTAATAAAAAACATGAAGTTCAGGTGTTAAAATATACTACACTCCTGCAGAATATTACTTTGCAATAAAAGTCAGTTTTTATGAGCTCCTAATTAAAAACAATTTTTTTTATTTGAAAAATACAATTAAGTGCATTTCTTGGCTCAGTTACTGTTTTCTGATGTATGCTTTTTTTCATAATGCTTACTTAAGCTAAAAATGCCTTAAGTGAAGAAGAAAATGTTAACAACAGAATATATGCATATGTAAAATATGTAAATACAATTTACCATAGTAACTTTTTTTAAGTATATAATTCAGTGGTTTAATGTGCATTCATAATGTTACAACCATCACCTCCATCCACTTCCAGAAAGTTTTCATGATCCCAAACAGAAACTCTTATACCTATTAAGCAGTAACTCCTCATTTCTTTCTTTCCCTCAAGCCCTGGTTACCATATTCTACTCTATGAATCTGCCACTTTGAGCTACCTCATATAAGTAGACTTATAGAATATGTGTCCTTTTGTGTCTAGCTTATCTCACATAACATAGTATTTTCAAGGCTCATCCATGCAGTAGAATGTTAAAATTTCATCCCATTTTCATGAGTGATTAACACTGTACATATTATACCACATTTTGTTTATCTGTTCATTTGTTAATGGTCACTTGCGTTACTGTATTTTTGGCTACTGTGAATAGTGCTGTTATGAGCATTAGAATACAATTATCTATTAAGTCCCTGGTTTCAGTTTTTATGATCATAAACACAGAAACAGAACTGCTGGATCATATGGTACTACTCTACTACACTTTTTTGGTTGACTTTTAGGAGTTCTTTACATAGTCTGGGTATCAATCGCTTTTCAGATACATAATTTACAAATTTTTTTTTTAATTCTCTGGGTTGTGTTTTCACTCTGTTGATTAGAAGTTTTAAATTTTGATGATGTCCAATTTATTTTTCACTTTCGTCATGTGTGAGTTTGGTATCACATTCAAAAACTCACTGCTATTCCTAATGTTATGAAGACTAGCCCCTAGTTTTCTCCTAAGTTTTATAGTTTTAGCTCTTAAGTTTATGTCGTGATCTATTTTGAGTTTTTTGGATTCCTTTTTATGATGCATGGCGGTGCATGTGTGCATGCGCATACACGAGGGAAAGTGGGGGAGGAAAGAAGTCTTGATGAGGTCTTGCCATGCCGTAATCTTCTTTCCCCACCCCTCCAGGTCTTCAGTATCCTGGGTGCCTACACATGTGCCCAGCTTGTTTTCAGGCTGACTTGGGGATCCAAACCCATGGTCAGTCATGTGGCTTCCAACACTGCAGTCCAATATACTAAAGACTGTGTCACGTGGTTGTGCTCACTATGAGTTCATTTTTGTATATGCCATTAGGTAAGGGTTCAACTTCATTCTTTTGCATGTGAATATCCAGTTTTCTTAACATTTTTGTTGAAAAGATCTTTTCTCTGTTCAATGGTTTTGTCAAAATTAACTTTATATGTGAAGATTTATTTGGGGGTGCTACATTCAATTCTATTAGTCTATATGTTTATCCCTATGCCAAAACAAACAAGGTGTGATAACTGAAGATTTGCATTAAGCAATGGGGCTGGCTTAGTTAGATATATAGTTACAAACCTTTTTAACTATGTCACAGTTCTAACAACAGACAGAAAGAACTATGGAAGTTGGAAATGGTGCCTTTGTTAAGAGGTTATGAGTATTACAAAGAAGGATCATTCAAAGTCCTAACATCACAATGAGAGTCCAGAATGCACTCACATTCTACCTGACTGCTGAAATCAGAATAAACAGACCTATACAAATCTTCTGTGTGCTACAACAAAAGCTAGCATGACAAAATGCCAGACTGGGTGGCTTAAGTAACCGAGATTTATATTCTCAGTTCTAGAGGCTAGAATTCCAAGATCAGAATGCAAGAATTGTTGGGTTCTAGTGAGTGCTCTCTGCCTGGCTGGCAGATGATTGCCTTCTTGTGACCTCATGTGGTGGAGAGAGAAAAATCTCTCTATCCTTATCTTATTAGGCCAATGATTCCATTATGAGGGGCTCCATCCTCAATATCTATTTTTATTTATTTTTTTGCCATATGACTTCTGTGCTTGCTGGAGAGAGAGAGTGACAGAGAGATAGAAAGTGAGAAATTACTCCCCACCAAAGGGGACGGCCACACCGCAATCCATTCTCCTTCATTTTCCTCCTGCACATGCAACTGACATAATTTTCAAGCCACCAAGGCCAGGTCTCAAACCACTGTCAGCCATGTGGCAGTCCAGTGCCTTAACCACCATGCCACTTACTGGCCTCAAATATATATATATATATTTTTTCTTAATTGCCAGAGGGCACATGTCCTCACCAGAGAGAGACAAAGAGAGAGAGGAAGAGAAAGAAAGAAAAGGAGAAAGGACTCCCCAGTGGGGTTACACTATAATCCCTTTCCTCTTCATTTCTCCATCTTGTTGGGATTTTGGACACACACACACACAGTTTTTCAAGACTCCAGGCCCAGTATTCAAACTATGGTCAGCCATGTGGCATCCAGCTTCTTTAACCAGTAGGCCACAGGACCTGTCCAAGACCTACTCTTAATTACCTCCCAAAAGCCCATACTGCCATATTTGGGGTTAAGGCTTAAACATATGAATTGGGGGGGAGGGTACAAACATTTAATCTGTAATACCTTCTTTCATAAAAACAATGGTGAAGCTAGCAGCAGGATTTAAGGCAGGCACGTACTAAGTAAAATTTAGTCAACCATCACAGCTCTCAAGATAATTTCCAGTTTTATACATACTTACAAAATTTGGAGACAAGTTATGCTTATAAAGTTGAAGAGTGGAATGAAGTAGGTTAGAAACAAGACTAGAAACCAACACTTCCTTTCCCAATTTATTATCAGTTACTCGTCTCTGGCTACTGGCCACTTGAACAGTCCATTTATCCATATCTGCTATAATACAGACAGCTTCTGCTATTGGTTCATCCAACACTGGATGCTGGAAAGAAAAGAAGAATTCATCTTAGGACAAGCAAATAGATTTTTTTCAAAGATAATGCTACTGGAATGAGGCAATGAAGAGACATTAAACAAAAAACAAGAAAAAAATATGAAGAAGCCAGACTATAACATAGCAGTAATGCAACTGAACCCACATGGGAAGGTCCCAGATCCATATACAAAGGTCTCCCTGTATATTCCACACTGATAGGGGCTGGGAATGTGTGTGATGAATCTCTTGAGAGTACCTGTCTCTCTCTTTTGCTCTGTCTCTCTCTGTGATGGAAGGAATACAAAAATAAAATATAATAACATTAAATTCTGACAGTTACTGCCAAAGAATCCTTGAGAGAGAAATGGAATAATTACTCTCACATTTGACAAAGTAACTGAGTGTTACTGAGTGTTAACCATGTGGCAAGCATTTGGAAGAAAGTGTTATATTAAAAGACCTAAACATTTTAAAAAAGTAAGGTAGGACTTAATCACACAAATAAGTCATTGAAAAGATTCTGTGCTATTTCAATCTGTCAGGCAATAATATGACACCTTGCAACCTATGTGTACTATAGTCTTCTATTTTATCATGGCCTATATCCAAAGTATAAATATAGCAGTATTATTATTATTATTATTATTATTATTATTACTCAAGGGCATATGTACTAGCCAGAAAGAGACAAAGGGAGAGGGAGAAAGTACCCCCCAATGGACATGGTTACATGACAAAATCTCCTCCATTTTTCCATCCTGTTGGGATCTGGGGACACATGTGCACATATGCCCAATTTTTCAAGATGCAGTGATGGGATCTGAACCTTGGTTGGCCATGTGAGATACAGCTCCCTTAATCATTAGGCTCCACAGATGGCCCTAAATAGAGCAGTTTAAAAGGGGACAAATTGACACACAAAATATGCCAGTTATATTTTTAAAAATTCAACTTTGTATAAAATAATGTGTTGGAAAAAGAACTAAAATATTCAAATAAAGCTCTTTACCATGAAGATTTCTGTAAAAAATATGAAGATTTCTGTAAAAAAATATGAAGATTTTTTACTCTGTGTATCTTCATATCGTCTGAATTTTTATCACAAGCATTTACCTAAATGATACCCGTACGTCAGCACTGTTCTGTATTAGAAAAGGTAAAGATCTCCTTCCACTGGTCAAATGGAAAGGTAGTAACAGGACTGAGACTAAAAGTAGCATTAGAAATACTCAGACCCGATGACCTTTCCTCTTTTGCTGCTGCTACAATTACACAGCTAAGAATGTAAGTTTGTTCTTGGACAAACCCTTGACGTCTTCAAAGAATATTCGTTTTCTCAGTTAATGAACTACTACTCTGAATAAAGCTGTTTCCTAACTGTAAAAAAGACAAAGACAACAGAGCTCTGATGACAGAGACTGAAATAAATATATCGATTAAAAAAAAAAAAAGATGTGTGACAGATGAGGCAGAAACTATTAATAAATGCTGGGGAATCAGAGAAGGGCAATAGTGGGATCTGTGTGAAAGGGAATTTCACAGTGGAAGGGACACAAATATGACACTGAAGTATGGATAAGCTGGCTGGTGAAATGGGAGGAGAATGAACATTCCTGGAGGAGGAAGTATCATGAGAAGGCTCAGGTATTGAAGCAGGTGCATATGGCTAAATTTGTGAGAAATTATACGGGGAAATTAGAAAGAGGAGAATGGGAAATAAAAAAAGCTACATTATGAAAATTTCCCATTGAGTCCTGAACTTGGTATTTGTTTTTCAGGAAATTATATTTAACTATTTCTTATTTATCTCTTGCCAAGAATATAACACTTTTTAAAAATTTGTTTGTTTTTATAACTTTTTTATTTAACTTTATTTATTTATTCATTTATTTTATTTTAATCTGACCAGAGAGGAGAGAGAGGGAGAGAAGGAGAGAGAGAGAGAGAGAGAGAGAGAGAGAAAGCAAACTACCAGGGCCGGGACTCGAACCATGGTCAGCCATGTGGGAGTCCACCACCCTTAACCACCGCGCCACCTGCTGGCCCCAGAATATAACAATTTTCTATTCCTTAACTTAAATATGAAAATATTATAATTTTATCAATGGTATGTATGCACATCTAAAAATGTAAGATATACTTTATATTTTAAAGAAAAAGACAGGAGTAAACATATATATTAATTTTAAGTATCTCTGTTGTTATAAGAGGAAAATAAGACAACAGGTATGATCAAATTACCAAGGTGGAACAATAAACTGTTACAGGCAGTGGTCTCTTTAGGAAATGAGAATTATAAAGGAGACAAAATAAAAGGGAAGAAAGCAAAGCAAGAAAAGTGAAAGGAAAGGGTAGAGGAGGAAAAGGACAGGAAAAGAAAGAAAAAGGTACTGAAATTAGAAAGGAAGGTGTAAAACTACCTGTAGAAAGTGCTAAAGAATATATACAAAAAATTAATAGAATCGAAGTTTACAAAACTCTGAAATCAAGATCAGGGATCAGCAGATGGCATAATGGTTGTATCACTGGATTCCCACATAGTTGACTACAGTTCAAGGCCCAGACCCTGTGGCTTAAAACTCATGCCAGACACGTGTTTGTATGCCCAAAATCCCAAGAGGAGACTAGAGGAGAAAGGACTGTGGCACGGCCATCCCTCCAGGGGTGATTTTCTGCTTTCTGTTTCTCCAGCAAGCACAGGCACCCTATAGCAAGAATCTCTTTTAAGGAAAAGAAAAAAATAAGCTGGGGGCGGCAGGTGGCGAGGTAGTTAAAGGTGCTGGACCCCCACGAGGCTGACTGCAGTTAAGAGTTCTGGCAGCTTCCTTTCCCACTTTCCCTCTCTCTCTCTCTCTCTCTTACTTTCCCTCTCTAGTAGAATTTTAAAAATAAAGTCAAATAAAACAATTCTTAAAAAAAAAAAAAAACCAAGATCAATACAAATAAACTGTAATTCTCAATATAAGCAATTATTAATCTGAAAATAAAATTAAGAAAATATATATTGAGCATCCCTAATGCAAAAATTCAAAATGCTCCAAAATTTATTTAGTTTTAAGGTTACCCATTTATTTCTTGAGAGAGAGAGGGAGAAAGGACAGAGAAGAGAGAAGCGGGCACACCCAGCAGGGTCCTCCAGCCTCTGTCATCCAGGATCATGGGCATGGAGTTGCCTGGCATGTACAGAGAGACCTCAGAATGTGAAACCAGGACCTTTCCATGTAAGCACCAGCATTAGAGAGTACTGTATTGCCACTGCACCATGGTTGGCCTAAAATCGGAAAATTTCTGAGTGCTAAAATGATATCACAAATAGAAAAGTCCACATCTGACTGCATGTGATGTAGCACAGTCAAAATGTTTACCTTCACCAGGGACAAGCAGGCGGCATGGTGGTTAAGATCCCAAATTTCTAAATAGCCAACCGTCGTTTGTGTCCCAGACCTAGTGGTTTGGAAAGTCACACTGGAAGCGTGTGTGTGTGTGTCCCCCTAACTCCCAGGAGAAGAATGGAGGAGAAGAGACTGCGGTGTGTCCATCTCCCCTAGGGGGTGATTTCTCACTTTCCCTCTCTTTGTCTCTCTCTGGTAAGCACATGTGCCCTATGGCAAAAACGTGAACAGAAAATAATAAAATAAAAATAAAAATTACCTTCGCCCTATGTGTATAGGCTATATATGAAATACAAATAAATTTTATGTTAGACTTGGGTCCCAGTCCCAATATATCTCATTATATATGTGTAAATATTAAAAAAATCCAAAATCTGAATTCTGGTTCCAAGCATTTTGAATAAGGGATACTCGATCTGTAATTTGATTCATATTTAAACATTCACAATTCTTGATAGTGTAAGCAATTTAGTCGATGGACATCTATGAATACATAAAGTATTTTCTATATTTCAGACTCCCATTTGGATAGTTCTCTGAAATTATCTACTTGTTTTCACAGTGATGAGGACAAAGATGCAGGGGCTGTATACAAACTAATTAATTAAGAGAAAATGATCGTGTTATATAGTGAAATGTGACCAAAAATACAAAGGTCATTCTACATTCTGCTGGCTAACAGTTTGTCCTAATAAATTGAAGATCAGTGAAGGTCACTCACCTGCACAGCATGAGACAAATCTGAGACCAGACACTGACGGAGTCTCTCATCACTCCCAATTCCTTGAAGAACAAAGTCAGGCACATAAGATGAGCAGTAGCCACCTAGCAAGGACCTCCCAAAGTTGGCAATGTTAGGCTGAACAGCACTCACTTCAACTAACTTTGACCTGGAAGAAAGGTCCCCAAAGAAGGCATAGATAATTAGTAATAAACATATTTTATCAGTTAAAAAAGTTTGCTAATTCTCCTAGTCCATATTTTTTAGTATCATTATTTTCTACAAAATATACTCAGGGTAAAATCATCCTTAAATGGAAACTGATACTTGTTCAATCAGACCCCCAAATACTCCTCCTTATCTAGAAAAGAAGGTCTAATGAACAACTTTATAATGAAATGAGCATAGTCTTTCAAAACTGACTTAAGCAAAGCTATCCCTTATGTTTATAGTACACATTTTTTTTTTGGAGAGGTTTTTGCTATAGGGAGCATGCGCTCACCAGACAGACAGAGAGACAGAAAGCAAGAAATCACCCCCTAGGGGGGATGGCCACGCCACAATCCCTTCTCCTCCACTCTCCTCTCGGGATCTTGGGCACACATGCACACGTGCCCGGCATGAGTTTTATAAGCCGCCAGGTCCGGGACGTGAATCACCAGCGACATAGCCATTACACTAACTGCTGGTCCCTATAGTACACATTTTTTGAGAAACTGTTTTGCTATATGGCACGTGCGGAGAGACAAAGAGACAGAGAAACGGAAAGTGAGAAATCTCCCGAGGGAGGATGGCCACACCACAGCGCCTTCTCCTCTATTCTCCTCTCAGCATTTTGAGCATGCACACACACACGTGCACCCAGCATGAGTTTTAAGCCACTGGTCCAGGACTTGAACTGCAGTTAACTATGTGGGAGTCCAGTGATGTAACCACTACACCATCTGCTGGTCCCTACAGCATATTCTTAATACAGTCACTTAATGAAAACCATTATCCCAAACAAAGTAGCTAAATACACTTCACGTGTCCAAAGCCAGGTGTATAATACTTTGCAAGCATGGATCGTCTCCTTATAAATCTGACCCAGGGTATATACTACCTGTTTTACTCCTAGTCTTGGCCACTCTATTGCTAAGGGTCACTTCCTATTTTCTCAGTAATTACCCACCTCCCCTTTCAGAGAGAGAAAAATTTTTGCTGTAGAGCATGTGCGTTCATGGAGAGATAGAGAGAGACATAGAGTCAAAGTAAGAAATCGGAGGCATAGCCATGCCACAATCCCTTCTCTTCCATTCTCCTCTCAGGATTTTGGGCACGCATGCACATGCAACTAGCGTGAGTTTTAAGCTGCCAGATCCAGGATTTAAACCACAGTTGACTACATGAGAGTCCAGCAACATAACCATTACATCATCTGCTGGTCCCAGTAGTTACCTCTTCCTAACTGCCAGGCCCATCATAGGCACTCTCTTGGAGTATAATTCACTCTTAAATGGCTTGAAAATTCCTGAACTGTAAAGAATGTTTCTGGAGTGCTTGTGAGCCTTAGTTTTCAAACCTTCCTATGAATAAACGCACATAATAAAAGAAAATTTGTTTCTTCTTTCACATGAGCTACTACCAACCTTCAGAAACCATCTAAACAAAAGAAAGGCACATGCTTATGCAGGGTCTATTAAAGTGAAAACTTCCTACTTACCCAGGAAAAGGTATCTCATCCTCTTCTGTCCAGTCTTCTTGTTCTCCTCCATAGTAACTGCTGACTTGTCTAGCTATATCATGACCTGTGTCTTCACTTTCACTGTCCCCAAGGGCACTATCTGAACTTTCATTTCTTGGAATGTCCCATTCGGTTCCTACAGCAACTTTTTTCTCTGTACTCTCTTTATCCCCATGGGGGACAAGAATGGAGAGTGTATTTCTTTGGTCCTGCCGAGAAAAGCAGGTTTTACATAAATCTTGGTGAACTGTTCCTATACATTTACAAAATTCATTGTTCTGTTTGCTACTTTTTGTACAAAGTCTTTTTGAAAACTCTGACATACAGCAATGTACTTTGCTGTTTATACTTGTTTTGACTGGAACATCATCAATAGTCCTGGTTTCAATTGAGTCATCATTAAAATATTCATCAAATAAGCTCATGCTTTCGGGGTCTGTATGATTCCAACAGGAAGGTTCACAAGACTGTCCAGAAATCATGTTCTGCATATCAGGCTCTTCAGATTGGTCCTTAGTTGTCTGTTTAGTTTCTTGATGCTGATCAACAGCCCCTCTTTCTTCCTTCGGTGGTTTGGTTTGATGCCTGGTAATCTGATCTACCACTGCCTGACTGCGAAGTTCAGTATCTGAATCAGGTGACATAGAATCCCCAATTAGGAAAGTAACCTTTGCCTGGGTTGCCTCACAAGAAAATGTAGCAGGCACATTCTTATCTGGAGGTTTTTTTTCTACAACCATTCCCATGGATCTCTTTGTTTTGTCCGTGTGTCCATCTGAATCCAGCAAGTCCTCATTCATCCATGTCTCCCCTGCTGGCTCTAAGCCTGACTGTGACAATGCACATGTGTCTACTGAAGCAGATCCTGGGCAAACAACTGACTCTAACTTTGTGTCAAGGCAAGTTCTTAATTTATCTCTGTGCTGTTTAACATCAACGGCATCTTCTTCTTGGCAGTCAGAAGTAGAAATCATTTGGCACTCATCTGAAATTCCTACTAACTCCTTCGAGCTGTTTTGAATATCTTCTCTCTCCTGTCGTGAAACATTCTCTATATTTTGTCCAAGAAGTGGACGACTGCAATATTTACAGTTACAATTAGGAGTTCTTGTTTCTTCTGACTCTTTAAAGATCAAACTGCTTTTGTTTCTATGCATTGTAATAAGCACATACTCTGATTCTTCTATTTCGCCTTTCTCTAAAGTGGTAGTAATTACTGTGCCTGGCATAACAATGGCTTCATCTTCTCCATTTTCTAAAAGATGAGTTTCTTGAAGTTCAGAGCATCTTATGAAATAAGTAAGAAAATAAAGCAGCCTCTGGACCATGTCTTGTCGTTTGCCAACTACCACAGTCCTCGCTAACCGAACAGGAGAGCCAATAGCGCCATACAGGTCTCCTGCAATGGAAAAACATCAGTAAGTGGACCTATCTTTACTAACACTGCTAAGCAAGCTATTTCAATTGTCAGAATTATACTTATTGTATGAGGGGCAGTTCAGGTTTTACTCTTACTTCTTTAATAGGTAAATGACTATTCAGGAGAGCAGAATGAGATGAATGGTCTTAAATCAAAGAGAAATTTGAATGAAAGGGATTTTGGGAATCAGCAATTGGTGTAATGGCTATGTCGCTGGACTCCCATGTAGTCTACTGCAGTTCGAGTCTTGGACCCATGGCTTAAACTAACGCTGGGCCCGTGTGCCTATGTGCCCAAGATCCCAAGAGGAGAATGGAGAAGGGATTGCGGCATGGCTACCCCTCTTGGGGGATGATTTCTCACTTTGTTTCTCTGTCTTTCTGGTGAGCACAAACACCCTATAGGAAAACCTCTCCAAAAAAAAAAAGAGAGAGGGAGAGAGAGAAAGGGATTTTTAGTTTTCTACTTGAACAGCTTTTGTGATTCTGAAACCTCAAGCGAAGAATCAATTCTGAAAGTCACATTTACTAATATTAGGTTATCAAGAAAGTCATGACACATTTTTTCTATGTTCTTCTGTGCAAAAATGCTCATGACTTTCCGAACAACTCTGTAATATTCCCTGTGCCAGCCCTCAGGGGAGCACTTTTATCTGGATGGAGAAGTATTGCCTGAACTATGTACACAAGGATTCTGTAGCTGATTCAGTACAGACAAGAGCAAGCACAGTATCTACTGGTAGGCAACCGGGGGAAGGAAGCAGTGTTGAAATAGAGTAGAGCTGGAGTGGTCCAATCACACAGTCAACTATTTCTTATTTACATCATATCCCTGAACCTTGTACTGTTGCTGCCCTAGCCAGGCCCTCACAACATCACCTCCTATTCTTTTTTAAAAGCTTATTTCCCCTTCAATTCTCTTGAGGGTTAGGTACTAAGGATAGGCCAGAAAGAGCAAGAAGAGAGACTAATCCATACTAAGAGGAAGGGAAAGAACAACATGTTTAGCTAAATTTATTTAAAATTTTCTAAGTTGTCAATATGTACATTTATAACCCTCTGTTTTTACTTTATAAAACTCCACACTTATAAAGAATTTTAAGTAGGTCTCAAATAAATACATGTTGCAGACAGTGGCTAAGACACTGACTCAAATATTGCCATGCCACTATTCAAAACTACTCCCCAAATTCCCACTAATTACCAAATAAGTTAAAACTGCTTTGGCATGGTAACCCACTCATTCCTGGTCCCACTTTACTTTTCCAGCCTTATCTTTTTTGTAATTACCCTTTTTCATCTTTATTCACCCACTTAAAGCCCCTTTTAAACTGGACTACTTAAACTGGGACACTGAATAGCTCTGCACTTTTAAAGTTAGACTCCTTTATTCATGTGTTGTACTCTCCTTTTCCTCTGTAACTCTGCTTGTTCAAAGCTTTTCAACCAAGCATCCTCACTTGGGCAAAAGTATGCTTCCTTACTGTGTTTCTATTGAACTTTTCATTTTTCTTATAGTCCTTTGAATGATCATTTTGTCTACATACATATTACCTACAATATTAGACCATCAATTTCTTGAGGGCAAGGACCAAATCATTCATCTTTATATCCTCCAAAGAAAGTTCTTGTCATAGAGCCTTAGATACTTTATGCACCAACAAATGATTGTTGAATTGAAAATAGGCTTGAAGTATCTAAACAACAACAAAAAACTACTGAATTACTTAAGTTTATATCTGTGCAATGAAATCTATCCACCATTAAATGAACTGTTAATACATACAACATAGGTGAATCTCAATTATACTGAGTGAAAAAATACCAAAAAAAAGTATAATTTTATTTATTTAAAACTCTAGAAAATACAAACTTATCAGCAGTGACAGACAGCAGAACAGTGCCTGCTTTTCTTAGAGGAAGAAGAACAGGGAGGGTGGGAAGGCAATAGGAGGAATCGATTACAATGGGGTGTGAGGAAAGTTTTGAAAGTAATTGTATGTCCACCATCTTGATTATGGTGATGATTTTAGAAGCATGTATCTGTATCTTTATTTAAATATATCAATGTGTATATAAAAACTTATCAAATTGTATCCCTTAAATATGCATTTATTATATGTTAAGTATAATTCAATAAAGCAGGGGGAATAAAGAAGGGAAGGAAGGAGGAAGATATGAGGAGTGAGGTTGGTTACCTGAGTGGATAAACTACAAGACAATCAGCCTGCAAGCTTAATTACCAGAGCAACCTAAGGGAGTTTCTACTAGGTAACCAAAAGGTTCTCATCTTATTTTTCATTACCTAATAGTAATGGAGTAAAAGTAATAGCAGCTACATTTACCAGACACTGGCCCTAATTACCTTATAGGTATTGTCTCATTTAATTTTAACCATTTTTCAAGGTCTGTACTATTAGTATGCCCACCAAGAAACTACAATTCAAATGTACCATGCTTGACTCCACAGCCCATGCTTTTAAAACCATGCTACACTGCCTGCCCCCTAATGCCTATGAACTTATCAACTATCTACCTCTCCTTTGTTACCCATTATGTAGTGGTGCCTAGCTCTGAGGGAAACATAGTTCAAAATCACTCATCAAACAAATAAAACAAAACAAAAAAGTGGCACAATAGCAATCAATTTAATCACCTGCTTCTCTTTTAGCCAGATTTATTCTAGCTATTACAGATGACAGCTGATCCCTTCTTTCTAGGCCAAGCACCTAACACAAAGTACAAACATACAAAGCATCCTAACATTACTAGTAAAGCAGTTATCAGCCTGCTCCTCTTGCTCCACACACGGTTTTCTATAAGAAGAGATATTAGATAAGATGGGAAGATAGAACCTTTAGCACACATGAAAGGATGAGTACAGGAGTGACGCTTTAGAATGGAGGAGGTGAAGAAGCGCATTTACTTATTTTTGTTTTCCTTATAAAATAATTCCAAAAAGTTACACAAGAGTCTAAATGAAATACATAAGGATTTTCAGATTACATACCCAGTTGTGCCCAAAGTGGGTTATATGGATGAGTCTTTGCCAACATGTCCACACTCTGAGAGGAATGTTTTTCTAAAAATATTTTTATGGGTGGTTGCCCATTTGGCATGACAGTTGGAACCCAGGCAAGATGATTGGTCAAAACTGCAGTAATGAGAGCTGGCAAGAATCTGAAAACAAAATGCATCCTATTAGATTCCAATTTGCCTTAATGAACCCTTAGATAAAATGTAGTGACAGAATAAGCAAAAGATACTCTTATGTGGCCAAAAAAGGAGAGCAGGAAGGAAAATATAGGTATACCAATCAAATGAAAATATAAGTTAATAAAATGTTTTGGTTGGAACAGTTACAGAAAATCCTCACAATAAGGAGAATATTCACAAGGAGCTATTTCAGATTGTAATTTTGAAAAGAGAATGCCATTTTACTTGAATAACTATGGATTCTTTTCAATGTTTAACCTACACAGTTCATTAATGAATCAACCAGCAGGTCTTCCATTTCCAAATTAATAGGAAAATGAAGAAAAGTATTAGCATACTTTACTACTAGAATAAAATCATCTGAATACTCATCTGGATTCCCAAACTTGATGAACAGTTAGAAGGAAAAAATGCGGTCAAATGTCATTAAAAATGTATCACCAGAGGGCCAGAGCCGTAGCACAGGGGCCTTAGTGCTATACACTGGGAGCCAGATCACACACGGCTAAATGCGGTTCAAATTCTGGCCCCAGTGCCTTAAAAAATTTGCTTCATGTGTGTGCATACATGCATATGCAAAATCCTGATGGGGTGGAGAAATAGAAGAAAAAGGATTACAGTGTGATCATACACCATTTGGGGTGCTTTCTTTCACTCTCTCTGGTGAGCACACCCACTCTCTGGCAATTAATAAAAAAGAAAAAGTATCATTGAAATCCTAGCATTTCTTTTTTTTTTTAACCTCCTTTCTATGAACTTGTCATAAGTGAATAAAATTCACCAGAAGTGGGAATCCTCAGAGTTCTGTTAGCTGTCAGGAATTTTAATTTAAAACATAAAGATATTTTTACTGTCTTTCATTCATAAGGTTCTGTGGCACTCCCTCACACTCCATATCATTTCATTATCTTTAAAAGTGTTTTTATTATAAATAAGAAGAAATACTTTCAAAGATATGGATGATTCTTCCAGTTTCTTATTTAGTTTGATCCCAACATGGATATCTAATTGTACTAAATAACACACACACAGGTTAGCTACATGCCTGGTGGTTAAGGCAGTTAGATCACACATGACTAACCACATGGTTCAAGTCCCAGACCATGTGGCTAGAGAAACACCCTGTGCGTGTGTGCATGTGTGCACCTGTAGACCCAGAATTCTAAACGGCGGAAGAGATGGAGAAAAGATTGTGCTGGTCTATTCCCCTGGGCAGTGCTTTCTCCTGTCCCTCCCTCTCTCTCTGGCAAGCCCATGTACCCTCTAGCAATAAATAAATAAACAATACATATGTATAAATTCAAATATAAATAAAGTCAGCCATACTGATTTTTAGAAGCATTCTCCATTAGAAAACTGAACTCCTTCATGAAACGATAGCAAAGTTGGTTCTTTTCTGGAGTCCCCGACATCATTGTAAGCCAGACAGGCTCTCCAATCCGTGGCATTGTATAAAGATTACAAATTGTTGTTCTAAAAAGAGGAAAACACATTATGAAACTTACAACTCTCAGAATTACATAACCTTAAAAATAAACTTTAGGTTGCCAGCTTAGGCCTTGCACCTAGGTTATTAAGGCTTTTAAGAACAGACAATGAACTAATTCTTTCCATGTCATCAGCACTGTACCATGTGAAATGTTCTGTACACAGCCTGAAAATAGGTTGTTTCTGGTGTTGGCTTTACCCACTCTGGCCTATGCCCTATAGTAAATTATCTCCCTACTTTAAACTTCATATCTCTCTACTGTATGACTGTATGATGGGACTAGATAATTTCTAAAGCCACTTGCACTTCTAAACTTTATAGTATAGGCCACATTAAATATGAACAAATAATCCATGCCATATACAAAAGAAAAATATTCCAAGTGGATAACAGGTGCCTACCTACCAACCAACAATAGCTTATCTGAATCATTTTGTTGCCTATTCTGGGGTATGATGAGGCCTATTCTGATGGACTACACATGTCCCACTGGGGGGCTGCTTTCTTCCTCTCCTCGCCCTTGCCAGTTCACATGCCTTCTGGTATTTAAAAAATAAATAATGAAAGAAAAAAGAAATAACAGATACAGGTAATTCTAGTGAGTTCTGAGAAACGCATAAAATCATTACTAAAAAATAAATTGGAGAGAAACCACTGGTAAAAATTAAAATTTGAGATTTCATAAAATTCTACAAGAAAAAACTTATACAGTAACTGAAGTAGAGTAGAGGAAGCTATAGGTCATAATGTCACAGATGGGACACGGACAAAGAGGAGATAATTTGCCCCATTAAAGTAAGAGGAGGGCCAGGACATATTCTTGGTAAAGTAAGTGGTAGAAGTTAAAGATATAGGACTGAAAATGGAGACTAACTCAATCAAAAGTGGTTGGTATTAATATCCCATGGGAGATGAGGAGACAGAGATTGGTGGGAGGGGAGGGGGATTTAAACATGTTCCCTGAAGGGAAGATATAAAAAGGTTGAGAAACATGACTCCAAAATGAAAGTCTCCAGTCAGAAGATTATGCACAGAACTTCCAACCTACTATTTGGTATTTCACTCTCAACGATGATTGAGCAACCAAAAACACGGTATTTAAAGTCTCTGAGGTGAGACAAAGAGGCAGAACAGAAAGAACACACAAATACAGATACAAAACGACTTCAGAGGTAACTGAAATGATGCACAAAACACAACTTTTAAATAAAACCCTAATCTACATTCTTAGATAACATGACTTTAAGAGAGATTTTTGCTATAGGGTGCATGTGCTCACTGTAGAGAGAGATAGGGATGGAAAGTGAGAAATCACCCCCTGGGGGCATGGCCACGCTGCAATCCCTTCTTCTCCATTCTCCTCTCAGGATCTTGGGCACGCACGCACAAGCACTTGACATGAGTTTTAGGCTGCCGGGTTGGGGACTTGAACTGTGGGCACGCACAAGCACTTGACATGAGTTTTAAGCTGCCGGGTTGGGGATTTCAACTGTGGTGAATATGTGGGAGTCCAGTAACGTAACCATTACGACAATCTGCTGGTTCCAGAAGATCTATTTTTAAACAAAAAGATTATCTGAGGGGCTAGCAGATGATGTAGTGACTACATCGCTAGACTCCCACATCCCACACGGTAGACTGCTATTTGAGTACTGAACCGGGTAGCTTGAAAATCACACAGGGTGCATGTGTTACCCAAGATTCCAACAGGAGAATGGAGAAGAAAGGACTGTGGCATGGCCATCCCCCCTGGGGAAGGTTTCTCACTTTTCCTCTGTGTGTGTTTCTCTCTCTCTGGTGAGCACACATGCTCTAACGCAAAAACTTCTTTAAAAAAAAAAAAAAAAAGAGAGATAATCTGAAAACAATAAAGTATTGAAGATTTGCTAAAATGTAAAAACACAGAAGACACAGGAAAGCAAGTAAAATAATACAGTCAGAAAAACAGAAAGAGAAGCAGCACAGAAGATCATAGCAAAAGTGCTTGTTTACAACAAAAAGAATACCAGGGGAAAAAAATAAAATAAATTATCAAAGAAAATGAAAACTTGGGAACCAGCAGTTAGCATAATGGCTACGTCGCTGGATTCCCACGTAGTCGACCGCGGTTCGCGTCCCAGACCCGGTGGCTTAAAACTCACGCCGGGTGCGTGTGCTTGCGTGCCCAAGATCCCGAGAGGAGAATGGAGGAGAAGGGATTGCGGAGTGACCATCCCCTCTGAGGGGTGATTTCTCGCTTTCTGTCTCTCTCTGTCTGGTGAGCGCACACACCCTGTAGCAAAAATCTCTCAAAAAAAAAAAAAGAAAAGAAAATGAAAACTTTACCATAGCTGAAGGACTGGTGAAGGATAGTGCTATAACTGTACTTAGGGAATAATGAACTAAAGGATAGGCGTAAAACTCCTATCATGGCAGACAATACATATCTAAAATTGATAAGTAAAAAATCGGGACCAGCAGTTAGCATAATGGCTATGTCACTGGACTCCCACGTAGTCAACTGCAGTTTGAGTCCCGGACCTGGTGGTTTAAACTCACACTGGGTGTGTGTGCGTGCGTGCCCAAGATCCCCAGAGGAGAATGAAGAAGGGATTGCGGCAAGGCCACCCCTGAGGGGTGATTTCTTGCCTTCTACCTCTCTTTCTGACAAGCGAACATGCCTTATGTCAAAAAACCTCTCCAAATAAATAAATAGCACCATCAAGTATACTATTTAACAACATGGAGGTAAATAACAAAAGAAACGAGTACCAGTTAAAAGAGAATGTTTCCAGAAGAATGGAGGATGGGTAAGAAAGGGTAAAATTCATTTATTTTTCATTATTAACCCTTTTCAGAATTTGTATTTGTTTCTTAACCATGTACATATACTTTGTAAGAAAAAGAAATAATGTATCCATACATGAATAAGCTGATCACTTAGCATCTTCCATCTCATTTTTTCAACATAATTTCTTCAGCATATTAGTATCCACTGTAAATCTGTGTGTTATGGGCCAGAACCAGATCACTAACACTGGTAAATGTATCTATTGGGGATATCTGCTTTAGTGTTTAAGTGTTAAAGGACACGTGCTATGACTGGAGTTTCTTGAGTGCACAGAAGGCAAAGACATTATTACACAATAGTGCTCTCACTGTATACAACTGTGTCTGTGTTCAGAGAGTGAGAGGCTCTAGTTGGAAGGGAACTGTGGACATGATTTAGTTTTCTTTGGGATGCATGAAGTCTAAGTAAAAAATCTAAGAATCCCATCTTTGCTAGGCATCAATGCTAATGAAACATGATTGTTATTTCTTGTTTCTTTAGGTTTCAGGGTTTCCATATACATGTGAGTAATTTCCTCCTTCTTCTCAACCACTAAAAATTAATGATGAGGGGCCAACAGGTGGTGTGGTGGCTGGAGCACTGGACTCCCACATGGTGGGACCGCGGTCTGAGTTCGGGACCTCGTGGCTTGCTTTCTCTCTTACCCTCTGTCTCTGGTCAAATTAAAAAATAATAAATAAAAGTTAAATAAGTAATTATTTAAAAAATTTTAGTAATCAGATCTCAAAAACCCTACTTTACTAGAGTATGTATTAATTTTTAATAATCACCTAATTTAACAATTAAACATGGTCTAGTCTCATCATTTGTAATTATTTTCGATAAAGTCCAAGCAGACATGTAACGATTCCTAAGGTAAATAAAGGATTAATCAGGTTCCTGTGAGCCTGATCACACTTTGTCAACCCATTGGTACATAACTCTGTTCTTACGTGGGTCTCTGTATAAAGTCTCCTATTTACTATAGACTGCTAACTCACAGTACTGAGCTCATGACCAATAGCACTCACCCCTGAATGCACCTTATCCACACATGTACTATCTTCCGTAAGGCACATCACACCATTCTTGTACTTAAGAACATTAGAAAGCATTTTAGCAGTATACTTGGTAGCCATTTTTTTGCAGCAAAAACGCTAGCAGAAAGGACAAAAACGTGAAAAACCTGGCACTAAATGAATGTCAAAAATGGCGCCTGTTTACAGTATGAGAGTTGAAACAAGGCGGCAAAACATCATCTTGTCTGACCTAATCTGGGAACATGCTCATCAGGTGACTAAAATTCTTTACTGCTTTTGCATGTCGATAAATTACCTCAAAAGTACTCTATATTTTTGGGTCACAAATTTTAGTGAGTAGGTGACTTTTCAAATACAAAACTTCAAAAATAACGAGGATTAACTGTATATGTTAAAGTACTTCTACAGGCAGACATCTTAATAAATTATAACAGCTTAGAAAGTATTTTTTAAATATTTTAAGAATACTTAAATGACTGATAATCTTTCAGGTTTACAAAAGTGATTTAAGTTAAAAAAAATCAAACTTTATACAAAAGAGAAGACACACTGTCAATGAATTTGTAAGTCACATATGCTGAAAATATCAAGCAATCTTGGAATTCTAATTCTTTGCTGTTTGCACTACTCAATACCAGAGCAACTGGCTCACAGGTAGTTAATAAATAAATTTCTAAAACAAAACAAAACAAAAACCTGTTTATAACCTAAGAGTTAGGTCAGCATTCTGTTAGGAAGGAGTCTTATGACAATATTTACTATTCTGGTAGCCTCAGCTGGATCTATAATGACAGTGTTTCCTCAGAGTCCAAGTAGAGACATTTGGCCTTCTGCCACAAAGCTTGTGACTGCAGAAAAGATACTGTCCATCCAACAGTGTAACTAACAGTTCCAAGTACAAGGGCAAAGATTCATTGCCTTGTAACACTGCAAAATGTGATTCTCAAAAAGAATCATGGAAGATTCTTTTAGCAAATAAGCAGAAAGAATGGTTGAAAACATACATTTATAATAATTCTAATGCAAGCAAAGTCAACTAAGTGAATAAAACCATAAAAATAAAAAACAGAATTATCAACAGAATATCTGACCACTTGAACTTGGCTCCTGTGGCTGTGGCTCCAGGAAGCCCCCA